AAAAAAAATACCCAGTAATTGCACCTACCATTTACTCTTCTCTGCATCACCCAAAGGTCAGACTGGTAGAAAACGCCTGCGGCATTAAGTATTTGTACATTTTGTGCATGAAGCATATTCAATAAATAAAATAACTAATACTTTGCCCGGGAATCGAACCCGCGACCCCTTGGCCGGCAGTCGCACTGCGACCACTCAGCCAACGAGGCAGTCGCATTGTTTTTTTTTAATAGACGCAATAATCATATTATGACTAGGTCATACCAGTTTATCCTAGAGTGTGCGTATTTATATCAGGATCAACTAGTTTGTCCTAGCCTAAACTGGTTTGTCCTATCGGGCTTAGGACAAATTAGTTTGAACTAGGCTATACTAGTTAATCCTAACGCTTATAGGAAGAACTAGTTTAGCCTAGGCAAAACTAGTTTGTCCTGAAATCGGGTTTTTCCGGTAACATATATAATGACAAAGCAGAAAAACAAAATTTGGACTACATAAATATTCGTTTTCTAAACGATATAATTACTAAACTGTTTTACAGACAAGGTTTAAAATGGATTAAACAAAAATACGGAGAATCTTTGGTCGTAGTTCGACTGACACAGCGGAACTATCTGGACCGAATTGAGCGTGGTGTGAGTAATGGTGAAATAGTGATACTGGAGAATATTGGAGAGACTGTGGACGCTGTGCTCGACCCCTTGCTGGGCCGAGTACTTATACGCAAGGGGAAAGTGCTCAAAGTAGGTGGACACTAACTACTTGATATTATACACTATTAGCAAATCCGGCGAACTCCGTTTCGCCACCAAATGGCTTTGTTTTCTGTAACATTTCGTTTGGTGATTTTAAGGTTTTTCCTATTTGCTATAAACCTCACGGAGTCCGAGACCTTTCCAACGAATGAAAACCCGTTAAAATCGGTTTGTGCGTTCTTGAGTTATAGCGTCAGGAAGGAAAACCCGACTTAACTATTTTTATATAGTAGATATCTGATATGAACAATATTAAAAAAAAAAATATTAACATTCTTCTAAGGAATCTTTAATTTCAGATTGGAGACAGAGAGATAGATTACCACCCGAATTTCCGATTTATGATGCAAACTAAGCTAGCTAACCCACACTACCAGCCGGAGATGCAAGCGCAGTGTACGCTCATCAATTTCACCGTCACTAAAGATGGGTCAGTTACCACCGTACTCAGAATCATTTAATAGTCACTTAACTCAATTGTAAAAAAATGTTTTAAAAGTAATTTTTAAACGTCTCTGATTACGGCAGTTACTAACGTTAGCTTCCATTAGTTCCGTTCTCTTAAATAAACCTGTTGCCACTATAATCAATATATTTGCTCTTCATCTCATGTCTCACATATTAGTCTAAATATCGTAAGACGCATTTGAACGACTCATTTTTATGACCAATCCTTGGTCTCTCATTCTCCTTTCAAAACCTCCCCGAATCGTTGAATACGCGTTTAAAAACATCGACAAAGCTTTATAAGAACTGCAGCGGTCTCCATGCAGATTTAATTATCTCATTTGTTAATAATAGTATACCAATTCCATTTACAGGTTAGAAGAACAGCTTTTGGGTGAAGTAGTGAAAGCAGAACGTCCAGACCTAGAAACCTTACGATCAGGCCTAACGAAGCAACAGAATGACTTCAAAATCACTTTGAAAACTTTAGAAGACGATCTACTAAAACGTTTGTCCTCGGCTGGACCTGACATACTCAGTGATTCAGCACTCGTAATTAATTTGGAAACAACCAAGAAGACTGCCGCGGATATTGAGATAAAAGTAGAGGAAGGCAAAAAAACGGCAGTACAGATTGATGACGCTAGAGAGAAGTATAGGTAATTTGTAATTATCCTTTACTTATATTCTAAGAGTCCTTATTTGTTTAATGTCAATAATAAAGTAGTGATAGAGTGGTGCATTTGGCATTCCTATGTACCTGTACAATAACTTTATTTGGTGAGTCTAAGTTTTATAGTGTTTCTGGTATTGACCTTTTGTGTTTGAGAAGACTAAAGTTAGATACCTATTTTCCTTGGTAGGCGGGCTGCTGCAAGAGCTTCACTATTGTATTTCATCTTGAACGACTTGTACAAGATCGACCCGATGTACCAGTTCTCGCTGAAGGCATATAGCGTCGTGTTCAAGGACGCATTGGCTAAAGCTGGGCAAGCTCCGGAGCTGGAGCAGCGCGTGTTCAACTTGCTCGATAGCATCACATTCGCCGTCTTTGTTTACACCAGCCGAGGCCTCTTTGAAAGGGACAAGCTTGTCTTCCTTTTCCTTATTACTTTACAGGTATATTATTCCATAGTTTTTAGTATAAGAAGCGGTGTAAGACTGAAATAATCAATGAATACTAGTTATTACCTTTATTTTACCTATTAGATTCTGCAAGCTGAAGGTAAAGTAGACCCGGTAGAATTGGACTTCTTATTGAAGTTCGCAGTGGCACCGGAGATATCGCCGTACGCTTGGCTGAGTAACCAATGCTGGGGTGGTGTCGTCGCGCTTTCCAAAATGGATGCATTCGAAAATCTTGACAAAGACATTGAGGGTGCTTCCAAAAGGTAATGGATAATCTTTTCAGAATTGGCTTCTACATTACAGATTTGCATATTATTGTGCAACTTTTAAGGTTTTTATTGCAAATAAATACATATTTTGATTGTTTTTGATATTTTTAGCCTCTCTTCTATGTTTCGTTCCCCGAACAAGTATTATGCTAAACGAAACTATGCATAATATTAAATATGCTAAACGTATAAATATTCTGCCAAGTAATAATTATAAGTACCAAGTAATTTTTATGCTTTAATAAAAAAATTATTATTAAAAAAACAAAATACCCGACTGCACACTAAAAAAAGAGTAAAACAAGCCCCACAATAATATTGATCAATCAAATGCTAAAAACTAATTATGTAATACCGTTTAAACAATACCTATATTAAAATACACTACAATATGTGTTCGTAATCGATAGTTAAATAAACAGAAACTTATTTTGAATACAAATTTACTGAATATAATTTATAAATGTTGATGGAATGCATCGCAGGCGGGGACCAACAGAGGCTTATTTATAGTCATTTCGGTTGTGCACCATTTAGCAGAATTTTCGTTGGTGGCGGTCAAGGTGGTCCCCGCCTGCGATGCTTTCCATCAACATTTATAAATTATATTCAGTAAATTTGTATTCAAAATAAGTTTCTGTTTATTTAACTATCGATTACGAACACATATTGTAGTGTATTTTAATATAGGTATTGTTTAAACGGTATTACATAATTAGTTTTTAGCATTTGATTGATCAATATTATTGTGGGGCTTGTTTTACTCTTTTTTTAGTGTGCAGTCGGGTATTTTGTTTTTTTAATAATAATTTTTTTATTTATAACTTTTTAGCTGTTTTTATTTCGATATATACAAATAGGGATATATCGAATAAAATCGCTATTTAGAGACGACCGTCAACGACGTGTGCTCTCATGCGTGTGCCCGCAATCGGGCTGTATACTCGAGCATATCCCCCTCCGCACCGCGCCGCGCGCCGCATGCCAGGCCACGCCCTATCTTTTTGCTTGCTAACGCATGAGTTGCTTTGCGTTGACGCAGAATTAACATGTTCCCGTGGGAATTTTGAGAAAAAACGTATCCTATATTAATTACTCCCGTGATTGAAATGAATCTAATGATACCGCATACATATTTTTTTAAAGGGAAATTTAGAAAAAATATTATTATGTCTTTATCCCGTGGGACTTTTAGGATAAAATGTATCCTATGACACTCCCGTAATCAAGACAAATCTAACGATACCTCATACATCAAAATCCATCAAGCCGTTTAGGCTACAGGTGGTCACAAAGGAAAAGACATACATACATACTTACATACACTCGAAAAACATTACCCTCCTTCTTTGGCAGTCGGGTAAAAAGGTGCCTTATAGAAGATTACTAAGTCTCATGTATGTAAGCCGCCAGTATAATACCAGGGCAAGGCCCTGCTTTGCACTTGCCGAACTGGTAAGTAACGCAGGCTGAAGACATTTACTCACATGATACCCAAGGTATAGTGTACAGTACGGTACCCTACTATTTTGAACTTTAAAAATGTCACTTGACTAGCGTGTGAATTAATGTTTGTCAGTCATTCGATTATTCGACGCATGTAAGGTACATTTCAGTAAAATGGTAAATTCTATACTTTTTACCCCTTTTATTTTGATAACGGGGGGAAACCTTCAAAAGATGCTTAGCTTTTTGGGGATAAACAGCTGGGGAGTGTGGGATTCTTACCTCACTAAAACCATCCCGGTGGCCACCATCATCACCTATGGGGGACACCGAGTCCTCTTCCTCTATAATACACCTGCTCCGGAACCCCCACGGTGAAACGCCTATGACGCACAAGGGAGATGTGCATCGCCCTTAAACTGTCAAATACCAAGCGGTCACCGGTGACCGCAACCTATTGTTCTATAATTGTGTCTACAAAACCGGTACTCGACGAGTTAAGCCTCGCTATATGCTTTTTACACCTAGGAACGCGTGCGAAGCCGCTAGTGCCAAATAAAATTCGTGGTACCAAATTCTGTCACGTTCTTTATTACTTTTTGTCAATCAGATGGCAGAAATATACGGAAGGTGAAGCTCCTGAGAGAGACAAGTTACCGGGTGAATGGAAGAACAAGACAGCGTTGCAGCGCCTTTGTATAATGCGAGCTTTGCGACCTGACCGCATGTCTTACGCTTCTGGGTACTTTATTAATATAACATTTTAGTATTCATCTGCTAAGTTTTATTTCCGTGAAATTCAAAAATCTAATTTTGCTATTTCTGATCGAACTCATATAGACGTTAACTGTGTAAGACGTGTGTTAAACATTTTTTAAAGTACTTTTTCACTATCTTTTTAGAGCATTTTGTGAAGAGAATCTGGGAACAAAATACGTTGAGGCGCGTACGCCATCTTTAGAAGTATCGTATCAAGAGAGTAATTCCACTACTGCGATGTTCTTTATTCTGTCACCTGGTGTCGACCCGTTGAAGGTAATATAGTAATACTGTCTAAAAATTCATACATAGAATTGTAAATACATATTAGTTAAAACTAGAATTAACTTTTAGCAACGGCCTCTTTTTTGTTGACAATATTTGAAATATTCATAACATAAACTATGTATAACCTCTTACTTTAAGTGTTGGATGACACTTATTAGTTGGTGAAAACAAAAATGACGTTAAGTGTCTTCTATATTAACTTAGTACTTACTTTAACTTTAAGAGACGGTTTGTCTAAACGGGCTTTAAACACATTTACAGGATATAGAAAAGCTGGGACGCAAAATTGGCATCTCAGCGGAAAAGAAGAATTTCCATATTGTGTCCTTAGGCCAAGGTCAAGAGGTAGTAGCAGAACAAGGTATGGGCGTTGCATCCGTCAATGGAGATTGGGTCATCTTGCAAAATATCCACTTGGTCAAAAATTGGTTGCCAGCTCTTGAGAAGAAAATGGAAGAGTGCTTTGAAAATCCTCTGCCGGGTTACAGGTAGGATACTTATGTCAAGTTCAAGTTTAAATAATAAAATACTGACTCTATCCTGTGCCTTTAGTCAAACGCCACTTTAACGCTTGTCTACAGAGAGAGTAGAAACCTAATGTATGGAAATGACACTGTAAAGTATCAAAATTTACGTCAATTCCATATAATTTTGTTTTGAGCCGTTTGGGGTCGAAACACTTGGGTCATGGGGTCCCAGTGCACACTCTGTTATTAAAGACTAGCTGTAGCCCGCGACTTCGTCCGCGTAGAATAATGACTTCTGGCAGAATTTAGGCTTTTGAATTAGTTTTTATCAAGGGATATTCTACGGTAATGGATGTCGTCAGAATTGATTCAGTCCCGTAGATGATAGCGTGATAATATGTAGCCTATATGTTTACCAGACTTGTTAGTAATATTCATGCAAAATTTGAAATAGTAGTGCAGTACTTTTTGAGATCATCACGGCCATACATACAGACAAACAGACAAAAATTCTAAAAACCACATTATTGGCTTCGGTATCGATTAGAGATCACGCTTCAAATATTCTTTTAAAAAATATTCAATGTACAGTTTTGACTTTTCTACGATTTATTATATGTGTAGATAGCTGTTGCCCGCGACTTCGTCCGCGTAGATTAATGACTTCTGACAGAATTAACCAGAATCAATTCAGTGCCCAAGTAAGATTTACCTATTTTGAAATGATTTATCGTAGTTTCAATAAATAAATAATCCCGCAGGGATCTTACCAGTACAGTGCCCGATCACGTAAGGTTTGAGTAATAAAAACTATTCTATCGACTATTGTTGTACCGAATCTCTCTAGAATAAGTTCAGTGGTTAAGAGTTAGAGAGTCCTGGGGCATTGACGCATAGTTCCCGTTCTCGTGAGACATCTGTGAAAAAACTATCATACGTTACCCAGGTCCCAAATCATCGTTTTACCGAATGTAATTCAAAAAGATTCAATGATTCTAAATTCAACGGCTAAGAAGATTTATACAAACTCTCATTCCCTATTTTATCCCCTTAGGGGTGGAATTTATCAAAATCCTTTCTAAAGAGATACCTATGTCATAGTAACTTTATGCATGCAAAGTCTCAGCCCGATCAATTTAAAACTGGCAAAGTATCATACTTTGGGGTGAGAATGTTCAAAAACCTTTCTAAAGGGACGTTTACGTCATAATATCCATCTGCACGCCGAATTTCAACCCGATCGGTGTAAAACTGACAAAGCCTCACACAAACGTTCATCCCCTATTTTACCCCCTTGGTGGAAATTATCAAAATCCTTTCAAAGCGGATGCTTACGTCATAACATCTATCTGCATGCCAAATTTCAACCTGATCGGTTTAAAACTGACAAAGGCTCATATAAACTTTCATCCCCTATTTTACCCACTTGGGGGTGGAAATTATCAAAATCCTTTCACAGCGGACGCCTACGTCGTAACATCTATCTGCATGCCAAATTACAACCCGATCGGTTTAAAACTGACAAAGGCTCATATAAACTTTCATCCCCTATTTTACCCACTTGGGGGTGGAAATTATCAAAATCCTTTCATAGCGGACGCCTACGTCGTAACATCTATCTGCATGCCAAATTACAACCCGATCGGTTTAAAACTGACAAAGGCTCATATAAACTTTCATCCCCTATTTTACCCACTTGGGGGTGGAAATTATCAAAATCCTTTCATAGCGGATGCTTACGTCATAACATCTATCTGCATGCCAAATTACAACCCGATCGGTTTAAAACTGACAAAGTCTCATACAAACTTTCATCCCCTATTTTACCCCCATTGGGGGTGGAAATTATCAAAATCCTTTCACATCGGATGCTTACGTCATAACATCTATCTGCATGCCAAATTACAACCCGATCGGTTTAAAACTGACAAAGTCTCATACAAACTTTCATCCCCTTTTTTACCCCCTTGGGGGTGGAAATTATCAAAATCCTTTCACAGCGGATGCTTACGTCATAACATCTATCTGCATGCCAAATTACAACCCGATCGGTTTAAAACTGACAAAGTCTCATACAAACTTTCATCCCCTTTTTTACCCCCTTGGGGGTGGAAATTATCAAAATCCTTTCTTAGCGAATGCCTCTATCTGTATGCCAAATTTTATCTGTCCAGCGGTTTGGGCTGTGCGTTGATAGATCACTATGTCAGTCAGTCAATCAGTCAGTCAGTCAGTCACCTTTGAATTTTATATATATAGATATCGCCCGTAGGCTAATCGACTCTACACGTGACCAGAGGGCTGGCTATTTCTTCGGATAGAAATAAGCATTGCCATTCAACGTTACAATGCTGCCAGTCTCCTGGGAACGTTCCCCTGTGATAGTGATGCGGACGAATACTTTGACGCCTAAATTGAGGGTATAATTTTTGATGTTTCCTTTTTTTACTTTCATTTTATTTTATAGTTTAGTTGTAGTTAATTTTAAGTTATAAATATTTCTGTAGTTATAAACAATGTAATGTAATATACATAATATTTTGTTTTCTATTCTACATGTAGACAAGCGCTAAATGGCATAAATTTGGCTACAGCTGCAGGTACATAAGTTGTCGCTTTTCATTAAAGGTTGTTCCTAAGCGCTGAGCCAGCCGGCGATCCCAAGTACCACATTATACCTCAAGGAATCTTGGAGTCTTCGATCAAAATCACTAATGAACCACCTATCGGCATGTGGGCGAATTTGCATAAGGTACATTATTCAAATTTGCGCTCACATCCTTCTACGCTTGAGATGAGGCCAGCTATCAGATAGTTATAGGCTGATATATGTTTAACCGACTTCAAAAAAGAGTATGTATGTATATGTGTTTGGGCGCGATTTTCTCGCGATTAGCTGAACCGATTTTGATATGGTTTTCAGAAAAGTATTTGTTACACTTAGGAAAAATATTTAGTATATTAACTCACTGACTTCAAAAATGAGGGGATTGAAATCGGTTTTTAACCGTAGTTTATGAAATATATATTGTAGTACCTATCAAGATAATCTTTCGTAGGCTCTAGATTGCTTCAGCCAGGAAACGCTGGAAATGTGCAGCAAAGAAGCTGAGTTTAAATCAGTGTTGTTCGCTCTATGTTACTTCCATGCCGTCGTGGCTGAGAGACGTAAGTTCGGCCCTCAAGGATGGAACAGGTAATATTCTGTATTCAGTTCTACAATATTGTCTTCTTTGTATAAATCCATGTTTCATATAAAAGCAAATAAGTTGGCCAATATTTTTAATTGTTTTATTTAGCTAGATCCATTTGTTTCGGTAAAATTTAGTAATGAGAATTCGACCCCTTTTTTGACTAAAGATCGATATGATTTTTGGTACTTACATACTCTTAATCTTGATCACCAAACAATATTTTAATTACTTTTTCCTCGAATATCTCCATTATGGATATCAAACGAAAGGGGGTGAATTCATAGTCTCCTAATTAAATTAAAACCAAAATCTTGCTTAAAATTCATAAAATTGTAACAGGGTAGATAACTAATTTTTATTTTAATGTCCGTCTGGTAGATTATTTTAAATCATTAGACACGTATTTTTTTTTCTAACTGAAACGAATACTTTCGACGATATATTGATTTAAAATGTCGCGTGACGTCACTTCTATGTACATTTTATACGTAGAAATGACGTTTTAGCCCCCAATCCTAAACTTTGATTTGTTTTATCTAAGTATTGTTTTATTATACGACAAAATAAAAAAATACGTGTCTAATATTTTTGCATTATGTAACTTACGGACTAATTAGATTTTTATTTTTCATACCCTGTCATCATCCCAATTGTCTCATTAGGGTATACCCATTCAACTTTGGAGATTTGACAATTTGTGTGTACGTGCTGTTCAACTACTTGGAAGCGAATCCTCGAGTGCCGTGGGAGGACTTACGGTATCTCTTCGGAGAGATCATGTATGGTGGACACATTACTGACGATTGGGATAGACGGCTTTGTCGTACCTTCTTACTTGAATACATGCAGGCAGAATTGGTGAGTCCGTTACAAACAATCCTGTAAGTAGTTTTGTTAACTTCGAAATAATTTTATATCTTTTTATGAATTAGATTTGTTAATATTTTCTCCTTTTGATAAATCTAGGTGTTGAAATACTTACTTACACAAGCGAAAGCACCGAATACCGACCGGTGATCGGCGCCGCGTACAAAATCCTACAAAAGATGAAAAAAATATTTAAGACTGTATAATAATAAATGATTTTCCGAAAGATTATAACTATGAGTTTCAAAAAACCTTTTACTTTTGTCTTTTGTCCTTTTACGGCTATTTTGTACGTATATTTCGAATTAAACTTTTAGGCTTGGAAAGAAATTAAAGTTACCGTATACCGACCGGCTGATGACGAACGTTCGTGATACCGACTGCCGAGGAACCTGATTCTGACCGGCCCAAACTGGCATTGTAAAAAACAACTCTATTTCTTAGCAGTAGAGTCGAAATTCGTACAAAACCTCTTTTAAAAAACTATTCAAGTATGTTTTGTGGATTCGGCACTGAAATTGCGAAAATAAACTTTGAGATTTATCAAAACATTACGCTTTTTAACCTCCAAAGGGGTAGGCAGAAAATATACAATGTAGCGCTTACTTTTTAACCTACTGATAATGATTGAATTAAATGAGTCGTGTTTCAAGACTTTCGCGCGATAAATAAACGATAGAGCGCAAAATAACTAAAATAATTGGATCGAGGAGGCCGGTTGGTAACCGGTGCTTTTGCGATAAAACAATTTAAAATAATACGTTTTAAAATAACACTTAAAATAATACCAATTTTTTCAGGTGGACGGTGAACTGCAACTAGCTCCTGGCTTCATATCACCATCTAATTCTGACTACGTTGGCTATCATGCCTACATTGACGACTATCTACCAGATGAAACTCCTTATTTGTATGGGTTGCATCCTAATGCGGAAATAGGATACTTGACTACTGTCTCCGAAAGACTATTCAAGGTAACCAATTATTTCCTCAATTCTTCTAGAAATTATACTACACACCATTACATTATTAATACATCATTTTTGTGTAAAGGTATCATCATATAAGGAAAAGATTTTTAAAGATAATTGTTACCAATTGTATTATGAATGGGGTTTTGAATTCATCATCATCAACAGCCTATAAATGCGCACCGCAAAGCCTCGCCTCCTCTCACACGGAGATGGTTTGAGCATTAAGCACCACGCTTGCTTAGTGTGGGTTGGCGATTTCAAACTTATAATTACAAATTATAAACCCAGGTTTTCTCACAATGTTTTCCTTCACCGTTTGTCAGTGGTATCTAGATAATCTTAGAAAGTACACGTAACTCAGAAAAAGTCACATTGGTACTTGCCGTTGTTAGGTTTCTAAACCGCACCCTCATGCATGAGGTGCGGGCGTCTTAAACCTCCGAGCCACCACGACATGTATTGTGGTTTTGAATTAACTTGAACTGAAGAATGAATCTCTATAATTTATTGAAAATCGCCTCAATCACAATTTCCTGAAGTTTATAACTCGAGTGTTGTTTTATAAAGGTGGTGTTTGAAATGCAACCGAGAGACACTGGCGCTCAGGCTGGTGGTGGCATGAGTAAAGATGAACAGGTAATATATTCAACATACATCCGTAGACGTATCACATTCGCGGAGAACCTAACGGGTTACCGGAGCTCCGGCTCGAAGTGCAGGAGAAGGAACGGCTTGGTTTTTAGTCAGTAAGAGTCTAACACTCCCTCCCGCCTCACCTAGGCGGGAGCAGTCATTCGATGATTTTCCACCCTTAAAAAAAGACGTATCACATGATAGTTACAACAGTTCAAGTTATAATAACTGGTAAACTCGTTGATAAAACACAAATTAAGTAACTATAAAAAATCGACGGTGTTCAAAACGTACCCATTCTAGTTGTGATTTAAGGGCTCGTACACAAAACTGGAACTGGATTCGCGATTCAAAATCTTTTTTCCTGTATCTCCTAAGCATTAACAGAAGATCACATTTCTTTTTACGACCCATGTCATGACCTAGTTTTCAATTTAAAATTCGTTCAGTGCGGTTGACGGTCGTCGAAGGAATAGTCGTCCTGGCATCGTCGTCGAAATAGCATCGCATCGCATCGCAGTTTTGTATACGAGTCCTAAAGGAAATAGGTCTACAGTCATATCATACAATTCTATAATTCCTTTGTATGTTAACGAAGCTGAAATATGTATTCAAAAATAATTCGAGCATTGTCCTTTCATAATATTGATTATTCAAATTGTATGCAGATTCGAATGTTGCTGGAGGACATCATGGACAGAATCCCTGAGCCATTCAACCTGGCTGAACTGATGGGAAAAGTGGAAGAATTGACTCCTTTCACTATAGTAGCAATTCAAGAATGTGAGCGAATGAACAGACTTATGGGAGAAATTCGAAGGTCATTGAAGGAGACTGAATTAGGTCTTAAGGTAAGACCCAAATGAATGATGACAAATAAAATCAGTAAAAAGGCATACTGGTACCAACTACGCAAATTTCATGTTTTTTAAATAACATTTATTTCTAATATTAGTCTCTTTTCAAAATATGATAAAAATACATAGCCTGTTTCTTTCAAAACTACGATAACAGGGAGAGTTGACTATAAGTGGTGATATGGAGCAGCTGATGGAGTCCCTGTTTATGGACAATGTACCGGAATCATGGAGTAAACTGGCATACCCTAGCCTGTTGGGGCTGGCTGCTTGGTTCTCTGACCTGTGCATACGATTGACTGAGCTTGAAAACTGGACTGGTGATTTTACCGTACGTCATTGTGCTTAAGTCCCTTCCTTTATCTAATAAGTGCTCGTAAATAAAGTAATGGTGATGAATGAGATGAATCTTGATATTAGAAAATGTCAACCTTATTAACTCTTTCATTATACATAGTTTGCAAATAATATACAACATAGGAGAGAGACAAGAATAATAGTATTCTGGTCGATGATAATATTATACTATGTGTTGGTTGAGTTTTTGTATGTTTGTATGTTTTACAACTTACAATTGGGTAGTTTCCTCATAAAAAAATATTTTTTTGATTTTTCAGGCCAATTAAATATTGCAAAATGTTACACTTTCATTCATTGATTTGTCGATATACTTAATTTCTATTTATTCTAGTATTTTTTTAGATATAAGTGTGCTATTTGACGCGACAAAATGATGACGTCTTAAGATGGTATTTCGTACAAAATTACTAATAATTTTTAACTTATACGATACTGTTCTAAAACAGTATCGTGTTTCACGTTTGGATAAAAGTATTGAATTTGACTAGTTGTCAACTACCGTATTGTTTATTCCAGCTGCCACCAGCAGTGTGGCTAGCAGGTTTCTTCAACCCTCAGTCGTTCCTGACTGCCATCATGCAACAGACGGCCCGTAAGAACGAGTGGCCTCTAGATAAAATGTGCTTGAATTGTGACGTCACCAAGAAGAGTCGGCAGGACTTCAAGTAAGTATTCTCAGAGAAGTAATCAACTTTTGTTTGAAAAAGCAAGATTATTGATTACTAACTGTTGCCCGCGATTTCGTTCGCGTAGAATATTAATTTTAGGAAATATTTTTTTTTGTTTCTATTTTCAAACTGAAAGTAGCCTGGAGTTGTTATTCCTTAGTAGATCAGCTATCTGCCAATAAAAGTCCCGTCAAAGTCGGTCCAGCCATTCTAGAGATTAGCCAGTATAATGAGACATACAAATAAAATATATATACTTAATGTTGTTTTGGTATGTGTATCTTATGCATATTCATATGCATGTAGTAAAAAGCGGTTATTTGAATATTACAAACAGACACACTCTAATTTAACCAAAAGTTTCTAAGTAATGGTAGTGTTAATTACTTCATCCATCATGTATCGACAATATTGTACTAGACTATTGTCCTAGAATTATTCTTAATTTATTTATTCATAACTAGCTGACCCGGCAAACTTCGTACCGCCTAAAAAATATTTTTCTCACCTTTTAAACCTTCCCTGGACTTCCACGAACATTTCAAAACCAAAATTAGCCAAATCGGTTCATCCGTTCTCGAGTTTTAGCGAGACTAACGAACAACAATTCATTTTTATTTATATAGATGTCTAAAACAATCACTGAATTTACAATCAATCTATGTGCCAGTGCTCCCCCTCGCGAAGGCGCCAATATTCACGGACTGTTCATGGAAGGCGCTCGCTGGGACACTATGACCGGCGGTATAGTCGAGTCCCGTATGATGGAGCTGTTCCCCATGATGCCAGTCATCTTTATCCGCGCCGTCACGCAGGATAAACAGGATACACGTAACGTCTATGAGTGTCCAGTCTACAAGATTCGGTAAGTTGAAAATATTGTCTGTCAATTTTTAATAGGGTAGTTGCCAGGGTATGAAAATTAAAAATCTAATTAGTCCGTCAGTTAGATAATGGAAAAATATTAGACACGTATTTCTTTATTTTCTCGTATAAAGTTACTTACTCAGATAAAATGGAGTTCAGTTTAGGAGTGGGAGGTCGTTACAATTTGTAGCGCATAGTGACGTCACACGACATTTCAGATTAATATATCATCGAAAGTTTTTAGTTTTGTGAGAAAAGAGAAAATACGCGTCTAATGATTAATGTTTTAAATTAATCTAGCAGACAGACATTAAAATAAAATTTAAGCATCTACCCCATTGCTGACTTATAATCATCCTCTAAAACTACAATAGCGCCAATGAGTACAAATTAATAAAACAATAAAACCAGCATTCTTTATATTGAATAATACGTCATTTCTCCTACAGTATGCGAGGTCCAACTTTCGTTTGGACCTTCAATCTGAAAACCAGGGACAAACCAACTCGCTGGACCCTCGCCGGAGTAGCATTGTTGCTTGGAGTCTAAATGTTAATTATTTATACTTATTATTATTTTGTTATAGCGAAGAGCTATATTTTCAGTGTTGTGCATGTCATAATTATGTTTGTGTAAACTGTCTTTATAAAACATTTTCCTCATTTAGATTAATAAATATTTATTATTTCGATTGAATTTTATTATCATCCCTTGATCATCTTAGTATAGATTTCAACTTGGAATGTTTTGAAATACCTTAAATCTCACCGTGGTCCATCATATCCACATCAAAATAAACAAAGTTTGTTCACAAAATCAATTTTATTTGTCACTAATTATAATTATAAATAAATACGATTTGAGTATCATGACAAAATATTTTGTGCAGAAAACAATTAGCGTTTTAATGATATATTTTCTTACTTATATGTGCATTACAACGCTTTAACAGGAAGACTACACAACATTGACTTAGTTTTTATAGATACTCTGCCAGATATACATACATACTTCATCTTTTATTAAACGCTCTTGTTAAGAATTATAAAAAAATAAATTGTTACTCCTTTTATTTGTCGAAATGGACGGCTTCGTTTAGTCTAATCACTATTTTGTAGGTGCAGCGCATTACAGGTCTATCAACGCAATATTTAGCTGTCACTAAATACTTCTTCAATATTGGCAGTGATTAGTACAGATTTTTCGTCAAAATATGTAAACTATTATCACAATCATCCTGTCCTTACACTCTTGGTGTTTAAAGTCGCACTTGGAGAAGAGTTATCGTTGTCAGACGTTGGTTCAGAGCCCTTCACTGTAAACGTGACGTAATATCGTTTATTCTTATCAAGTTTCTCAGCTGGTAATGCTATCAACTGCTTTTCAGTCCCGTGGGACACTTCTAGCGTGACGTGCGCCTTGGCAGTACCTGATGGGGGCTTAGAATTTATTTTCGGAAGAAAGCCTTTCGACTTTGAACTGCCTCCAGCTGTTGCGGGTTTCGGCATAGTGTGATGATTCCACTTGTAGGGAACTGAAATGAAAACGAAATGATAAGTCAGTAACGATTTATTGTGTTACTCAATTTTGGTGAAGATACTTACTATACGCCGAACACGGTATGCCAGTATAAGCATGCACTGCGTGGTAACATCTATGGGTCTTGCTCGTACAAAGACATGGGTTGTCAGGAATAGCACTCATTTTATATAGTTCACTTTCTCCATAGTCAAAATCAATTGGTTTCTCTGGTAATTTATCCAAATGTTTCTTTCCGCTCTTTTGTAGTTTCCTTAAACTTTCATAAAGGAATTTCTCAAAACTGCTAAACGAATAGTCTGGAGTATTGTATGAGCCTAGACCTACGTTAGCTAGGCTTGATTTATTATATTCGTCGATAGCTCTCTTGACTAGGACCGCTTCATTTGCTTTGCTGGTTCTGATTTGAAGTCGTTTTAACTCTAACAAATGTTGAAAAAGTTTTCTTTCGCAATAATACCTGTAAACATAGAGTAGGGAATTAAATAAAATTATTGTAATCAGGCATTGGAATAGTTCAATGAAGTACCACCCAGAATTGTCCAAAATCGACCTCTGTTGGACTTGAATTTCAACTTACCGTCTCATATTTGTCTGGATTCTCTGAGTAACAGACTTCATGTCGACAGCATTTTTGTCTCCTGGTTTTCGAACTGGGATCCGACTGTCAGACTTTCCTGAATATCTTCCACTGGCATTTCTTTGTTTGTAATAAGCTGCGAGACGAGGACTTGTAATTCGACGCTGAATAGCTCTAGGGCTTGGTTCAAAACCAGAATCCATTAAACCACTAGATTCATACCCTCTCTCAGAATTTTCACTTTTGGATCTAATAGTTGTACGACTTTTCGTTCTTCCTTTTTTGCGAAAACGTTTTCTTCGGCCGTTTGCCTCGCTATGACTGTACAATTCGTTGTCGCTGACACTTGGTACTCGACCTATGTAACCATCTTTTGAAATGCTTCCCCCTTCAAATAATTCTCCATCTTCCAAGGAAGGTTCATCTAGTTTTGATGCTGTTTTTTTGAGAATACCAGGTGTAGCATCTGGAGCACTAGCAATATCCGACAGTACTTTATAACTCTCTGTTTCATATATACTACTTTTTCGACTGCTGCCTTGGCTTTCTTTAGAAGTTTTTCGTATCCTTGTTGGTGTTGTCGGATGCAAAGACAAGTCTACATCATATTCTTCAGATAAGTTTTCTAAGATAACTTGCTGAACTGCACGGTCACTTGTAGGAATGTTATCATCAAGTACAGACACTAACCCTTTATCATTATTGGGAGCATTCTCAGTACTGCTACCTGTAGTAGAATTTTGAAATTCTTTTCTTCTTTCTTCTGAACTTATCACGTTACTGTCACTACTATCTTTTTGTAAAATGCTATCTTGAATTTGTTTATCGGTTTCAGGATCTAAGCTATGGTCAACGGATTCTCCCATTAAATGGTCAGTTTTAACTTTAGATTCTTTAGTATCTATTATTATATCTTTATTGGAAAATGATACAGCTGGAGAACTAGTTTTTTCTTGAGTTTCAGTTTGTTCTATACTGGGAGCATCATAGCTAGTTTTTAATTCTCCCGATGCATTTTGACTTGGTGATCCAATTTCATCTGGGCCGGATAAAACCTGAAATGACTTTCTTCTCGTTAATTCTGAAGGAGTTGGAGATTGTTTAAGTTCGTTTTCTGAGACTTGGCTTGGGTCTTTACTAATCTGTTGAGGTGATTCTAAATTTTCAGAACTTTCTTTTTGTTTCGCATCAGATTTGACCACTTGTTCTTCTTCAGTCTGTGATTTACTAGCCTGACTTTTATCTGGTTCACTTGAAGTTTTGTTTTGATCATCTTTCTCTTCCGTTGATGTCTTTACTTGGGCTTGATTATCTCCGGTTAGTGTATCTTGTTTGTCAGTTACTGAAATATCAGTTTGTGATGATTCTTTTTGGGTCTCATTACTTGGAACGTCAGTTAAATCTGCTTTGGGGCTTTCTTTATCGTCGTCTTGGTTCTCTAATTTACCATTTTCAGGCTTAATTTCTTCCGTTAATTCTTTGTGCGTCACTGATAAATTTGTAGATTCAATTGATACGTTATTTGAAGAATCAACCGTTACATTTAATTCGGAATTTCCTAGTTGACTAGATTGCCGTTCCATATGGATTTGGGCTTCAGTGATTATCATATTTGTTTTAACTGATAAAGTATCTGTTTCAGTTTCACTATGACCTGCCTTGACTATTTTGCTCTCGTCCTTTTCTGTTTCCGATTTGATACCTTCAGTTTTATTTTCTGAATCTGTGATTAAATTGTCGTTTTTTTCCTTACCCTGTAAACTATCAGTGGTTTTATACTTTATTATATTCACACTTTGTTTTTGGTCATCATTTTCTATATGAATTGACGTTTTTTTTCCTTTGCGTTTAGTACTGCGTCTTTCACTGGATTCTGAGCTACTGCTTTCTGAGAATGAACTGGATTTTTTTTTACTTCGTCTTCGTCGTCTGCTTCTCCTCTTCTCCGAATAACTTTCAGAGTCTGAAGAACTGTCAGAACGAGACCTATAACGATGGTGATGGTGCTTTGCACTACGCTTATGACGCCTTGATGGTTCACTTTTTGATCTGCTTTTCTTCGAACTTTTATGATTACGATCATGGGAATTTTCCTTTTCAAAAGCTTCAAATTCACTGTCATATCCATCACTAAAACTCTTTTGTGTATGCATGAGTCTTTTTCGACGTTCTTTGTGGTTATTGTTTTTATGTTTATGAGTTTCTGCTTTTTTCTTTGTTCTTCTTCTATTATCTTCTGAGGATTCATTAGACTCACTACTGTCTCTATCTTGGATCTTTCGCCTTTCTTGAATGGGGCTAGACAGTTCAACTACCTCTCTCTTTTCTATTCTGATCCTATCATGTACGTCTATTTTTGTACTTGTGACTCTTCGAGTGGGTAATGCAGTAATTGGAGCTCCGTCTATGATAATATCTGTATTAGCTAATTTAGAAGCAGGTATTCCACCATGCATCTGAATATATTTAGCCGTAGAGCGATGACCACGACTGGTTGCACAATCTAAGGGAGTAAGAGGCTCATTTTTTGATGATCTTGCTATCAGATTGACTTCAGCACCGCGATCTAATAATAAGCGGCACAGGTCGGCGTTATCCGTAGCAGCTGCTATATGTAAAGGTGTTCGACCTTCATGATTAGTAGCATTTACTTGGGATGGACGCCCGTCTAAAAGCCATTTCACTAGTTCTCGTCTTCCAGATGCAACTGCTTCGTGTAAAGGGAGGTCACCTTTAGAGTTTCTGAGCCATAAGTTAGCACCTCTGGCACCTGAAAATTGCCAAAAACAAATTTGAGACAAGTTTATTTGTCCCTCATTTTATATTATTATTGACGTATACTGACCAAGTATCCGCACTGTTTCTATTTGTCCTTTAGCTGCTGCTGTATGAGCGGGGCTTCGACCCCTTCTGTCTTGTCGATGTGAATCGGCGCCATGTTGTAACAGAGCTGATGTTGCATCGGCATGACCTAATGCAGCTGCATAGTGTAATGGAGTACAACCATGCGAATCTGCTACGTCCACTCTCGCTCCACATAGACCTACTAACGTTTCTAATGCTTCAGTATGTCCTCTGGCAGCAGCACAGTGTAGAGCAGTCAACCCATCTCTGGAAAGTTGAATTACATATATATTAATGTTACAAATATCCCAAAATATTAAAAAAATACGTTTATTTACCTCTGTACGTCTAGTTGACACTTTTATCATTTAGAACTACTAGTAGTTATGTTTACTTAATTATTTCTATGAGTATAATGGACGAGAATCACTTGGTACCTGTCAGCATCGTCGACTTTAGCTCCAGCCTGGTGTAACGCCAACACTGCAGCCGCTGACCCTGCTGATGCTGCCCACAGGAGTGGGGTCCGGCCGTCAGCATCTCTCACGTCTACACTTGCCCCACCCTCTTTTACCAGTGCTCGTAAGACTTCCAGAGCTGCTCCTCTGCTCTGTAGATAGATCACATGGAAATGATTATGCTTCATCTACTATATATAAGGTATTACCTATTAAATACCTTATTTAAATTCTTATTCTGATATTTAATCTAAAAGTTATAATTACTTGATGATCTGTAGCAGCTGGAGCACCACACATTTGTGCGGCATAGTGCAAAGGATATCCGCCATGTTGGTCTGGCGTGGCTGCGTCTGCGCCGGATGCTAACACCGCTCGTAGTGCCCCAACTTCACCACACACTGTGAATTATGCCATACAAGGCTTTTGATTTCTGCATTATATGAGTATATCTAAACATATAAAATATAGATACCTATCTAATATAATATAGTTACGCACGTGATATAACACGCGATATAAATGAATTATAAATACATAACAGATTAATGAACAATAACAATTTATCAGAATGCGGTATCGGACGTCTCGCGTCGGCTTTACACGTCAACTTGACCTGCATAAAACATTAACGCGTCACTCAGCAAGGCTCGACCTTTCAGCGAACAAAATTGTTTGAAAAACGTAATCCTAGATACATCGGACTGCGGTCCGCAAGAGTTCAAGGGTTTGACCTTGTCGGCCGCTCAATAACTGACCGGACACCCCCGTTTCTCCCTAAAATGTAGACTAGCCTACCACCACCATCCTCGCGGGCATTCACTATGACTACTTATGCTTAACAGTGCGGCATTGGAATAGCGTTGTAATTTGACGACACAATAAGTTTATAATAGCGAGCCTTAAGTATTGTTTGTGGAACGTCAACCTTCATACGTCTAATGGGTGACCACAGTGTGTAAAGGTCGTATTATTTTATTGTAATTCTGACTGAAAATTAAGATAATAACTTTGATACTCTTGTAAATGCTCCACAATTATCGCATTTATTACATTTCAATGCCTCATTAAATTATCTGGATGTTAAACTTATTTTATATACTTGAAAGTAAATAAAAAAAGTCCAGAGTCTTTTTTCTATTCGATATGAAGTACGGAAATGTGACGAAACAGCGGATTCTGTCAGAGTTCCGTTACAACTCGTCACACAGCTCACATAGAACGGAACTCGACGTGGCCTCCAACCATACGTGGCATGTCTCCATGATCTCTTGCATAATGCAACCTTGCGCTGGAATCCTATTTATAATACACCTTACTTCTTCACTCATACTTTTACCTTGGAGACTAGCATGTCTCCGTTTTTCATGACGTTTGTCTACCTGTATTTCTTACACGACTTCCGAGGATTGTCAGTCATACAGATAGATAATTTTGAAAATTACTTTTGACATACATACATACATAACTTCACGCCTGTCTCCCATGGGGGTAGGCAGAGACTAAGGAACGCCAATTACTACGATTCTTACATACCTCTTTCGCTTCATTAACAGTCATAAATCTTTTCATGTATGCTCGTCGGTTAAGGGTACTTTTAATTTGGCCCTTCTTTAATATATCGCCAATCTGGTCACTATATGTCCGTCTAGGGCGCCCTCTACCGACGGCCCCATTCATATCCGCTCTGTATACTTCTTTCGTTACTCTGCTCTCATCCATCCTTTCTACATGTCCAAACTAGCGTAACATTCCCTTTTCAATCCTTGTCACTACATCATCTTTCAATCCACACCTTTCTCTAATAACACTATTTTTCACTCGATCACTCAATTTTAGTCCACACATACTTCTTAGGGTTCTCATTTCCACCGCATTAATCCTGCTTTCATGCTTCTTCTGCCACACCCATGATTCACTACCATACATAAGCGTTGGTGTCAATACACACTGCATTACAGCAAGTCGAGCTTTGCTGGATATTATTTTACTCGACATGACAGAGTGTAAAGCACCATTAACACTATTTCCCGCTTTCACTCTCCTTTCAATATCCCCGTCACACTTTTGACTTAATAATTATTTTATATACTGCGTTTAAAACCCCCGACTTAAACCCCCTCTTTTTTGAAGTCGATTAATTAATATACTTAAACATCCTCCTAACTGTAACAAATGCTTTTATGAGAACGGCATCAAAATCGGTTTAGCCAAGTCACAAGATAATCGCGGACAAACATACACACACGTCAAACAGAGAAACTTTTCTTAAAGTCAGTTAAAAATAGACCTTTATCTAAATGTTATCAATCATAGTAAAGTAATATGAATAAAAATGTTTTCTTGATGTCGCTCTCTTTCATCATTCTCTTATTATTTCCTTTACCTTCAATTATTATTTATAACACAAACATAACTAAAAACTTCAAGTCAAAATGCAATAATTTTCCTTTGTCTCTCTCTCTATCAATCAATCTCTAGGTGTTGTATAGCTACTGTGTTGTCAAGGACATCGGTGGAGGGATTCGGGTGGCCGACTCAATATTATGTAAAATATGTTCAGGCTGACCGCAACCGCACGAAAGAACCTCTTTATCGCAAGCTTGGAGGTCACCGATAACTACACCACTAATAGGCTGCCACTGAACAAGAGGAATACGAAGAAGGTCTAACCACATTGGACACATAAAAGATAGACGCAGCGTTGCGCGTTGATGTAAACAAAAAGATAATCAAAAGTCATTCAACTTTACTGCTAGGAACAATCAATAAGAAAATAAGTCAAAATGAAACCTCACAAATGCTCACAGTTGCAAACTTTTGTGATTCAATAAACCTTAACAGTGACACGGCAGCATGGAGGTAGCGATAAATAACTTCATAAAAGGCATATGATTGACACGAGTGCGGTGGGTAACTAATAGGCTCGCGTGCAGCGCTCCACACAGCGAGGTTCGCCCTGGTGATAACCACCAAGGCAACGCTGCGAGCAGCACCGCGAGTGACACCCCTTAGATAACAATTCACTCCTAACACCCATCCATCTATTTCAGTGACGCAGAGGGCAACACCCTTACCTATACTGAGGTGAACTAAATGATTCTGCTTTAGATAGTTTGTAACATTTCTAATTAAGTTTCCACAAGAAATTTCTAAGACACCTATTAAGAATTTAAAATATTTTTGTTTTATCGAAGTTTTTAGGGTTCATATAATTTGAAGTTTATTGTGACCTTATCGCGCAGTGAAGTCCTTGAGACTCGAGACTAAACGGAAAAAAACTAAGTTGCTTTAAAGTCTCACTTCTACTTTAAAATTATTTACCTGTCGCCCAATGAACAACAGTATGATGTTCATCATCTCTAGCGTTCACGTCTGCACCAGCAGCTAGAAGAGTCTGCACCAGTGGTACGTTGCCATGCACGACGGCCAGGTGTAGTGGTGTCAAGCCATCGGCGTCTCTTGCATCCGCCAGCGCCGGCGCAGCCATCAGCACGCGATCTGCGCAAGCCGCGCGTGCCGCCTGGCTCGCACCCGCGCCACTCGACGCGCAGTAGTGCAGCGCACACCGCAGACCGCGGTCACGAACACGTACTGATGCCGGCTATTGATGTTATGATGAGTTATATTAGTTTATGATGTAAATAATAAGATTATTATAATATTTCTTCATCTAGGTGTGGGCACCTATCTATGTATATAGGATCAAACTCCCAGACCGTTCTAATTGGCATTAACGTATGATAGGCTGTGGACTATAATCGCTCAGTGCTCTGCAAGCTTTGATAATGGTATAGTAATAACAATTTGCTTTGATGAGCTTTGATATGGTACCTATTTTATTGACCCCAAGGGGGGATTGATATAAAACCTAGGTCCATTTATCTGATAATTATCCATATCCATGTATCATTAACAAAAACGTTACATAATCAAAAGTTATTGCTAAATTTTCGCTGGTATTTTCCTTTTTTAATATTATTAAGATATCCCATCTTTTTTGACATGCAAGTTATATCTTGTGCTTACAATGTATGCAATGTTTGATAACCTGTTTGACAAGTATCGTTACCGATTTTTCAAATATTAATCAATCCTCGAACATTAATGTTCTGAATGTTAAAACATAAATGTTCGATAAATCTTGTTTTCCATCCTGACGTCCACAATTTCTTGGACAAAAAAAATATCTGATCACCATCTACCCTTTTTCTGTCATAGCTAGATATAGGCTTCTCATATTAGCATCCCAGATCTCTGAATTAGATCTTAAGTTTATCTTACACAATATCTATTAAAATCTCCTCAATATGGAACATTCTTTTCTTATTCGATGTTAGTGCATTTTTAATCCTAGTAGGTACTATTTAAAACCAATGACGTAACTTTGAATTCATGATCTATGACTGCACTACAATATATGGAAAATAAAGGAACATCTAATTTATCTATTCATCATACGGCACGTCCGTTCAAGAAAACAATATTTGAAAATTGTTCATTATATTCGCAACCGTCGTAAATGTCGATAACAACAGACTTAAGACTATTCATGACATTGTAGACGATGACTTATTACGGAGTTTCGAAGAATAGGCGACTTTCAATGAATGTGACGGCTGGTGGAGGTGGGTCGTTAGCGAGCTGAGCGGGTTATGGCACGTGTCGTGTTACTAGACAACGGATTGTAATCGTCATGCCTAGCGCCTGCCGCGTGCCGTGCATGTGAGGACGGTTCCTTCTATTGTGCCAGTCAATTCTAAACCTATTGATTGACTGGTGCCCCGCGCCCCCGTCTCACCGTCTCACCGCGTGCTAGTGCATTTCCTTCAAAGCAATCTGATTCTATATTAGTGTCAACATTTACAAAATTCATGCTTAGTTGAGTTTTCAGTATATACACAGAAACAATATTTGTTGTAAATGTGTTTAGTTAAATGTTTTGTAATACAAATCGTGTTGGAGACAATTAAGTTACATCGACATGGTAACCATTATAAACCTAATTCACGTCATACATAATGAATGTGTGGCGGCACGGTGTCTTGACGACTATTACATATAAAAACATTGGGGGAACTATTTGAAGTAGCGCAGTGGGCGAGCGTTGAGGGTTGTTTACAGACAAGAAGTGAAGTGATCGACGGACGAGGAACATCGCGTGCTACTCATAAAACATTGAGAATACTTTTCCATTTAATGTACGATAACCTGCCAAGTTTCTGACCAAGAATTGATGACTTTGAAATAAAGTTTTACATTATGTATCCGTTGGTACGGAGTTAAAATGAAACATCTACAAAGCAATAAGCATCAGCCCAGACACAGGTGATGTGTGAATCGTTTCAAGCTGGAAATTAGATCCTAATGTGAGTGCAGTCGACGAACTCACGTCCTTATTGAGTATATCGACGACTGCCTTGTAGTCTGCCTGTTGGCAGGCGTACATGAGCGGAGAGCACCCCTGCTGCAACGGAGCGCTCACATCTCCAGCTTTCTTAGAGCCCTCCACCTTCTCGCGCTTGATCTTTGTGCTCTTATCCAGGAGGTCTCCTTTGTGGCGGCCCTTAGGTTTCTTGAGGATGCTCGGGATGGGCTCTCCCCGGCCGCTGGTGGCACGCTTGTCCATAACAAAGGTGTTAACAAAGTCGCGCCATGTGTTCAGCGGCGCGGCCGTGTGAGTCGCGGCTCGCGAGCGGGCGCGGAGGGCGCGGGCCTCAGACTGGCCCTCGCGCGCCGCTGCCCGCTCGGACAGAGGTGGCGCTGGGCGGTGGGCGCCACGCAACGCCCGCCGCCCGCCCAACACCTAATCTATTAACGTGCTTAAAGCAGGTCACCGTAATCCAAGTCTACGGTCTTAGTCGGACTGTAACTTGGTTTATAGTCGTTATAACCACCAGCAATTGAATGTTATTGACACATTGGAACAGTTTATTCCGATTAATATTTTAGTTTTTCGGCAAAGAGTAGGCTACCCTAAATCTAGGGATGTCGTAAAAGGGGCCTACTTGGTGTTTTGGTGTCACAAATTGTTAGTTAACAGTACTAGTCAGCAAAGATAGTTTCTACGAAACAAATGAGTTCTCACGCGATGATATTTTATTCAAATCTTTACTTCTTTGATTTAAAAATGCTAACAGTTCAAAACTACTTGCATTGAAAGAAGTGGAGCAGTTAAGTTCCTATACTAATACGTTTTGTACCTTTTATTTTAAGGTGAGCTTATCCAACTTAAATCTTAGATAAGTAATATTTTATTGTATTTCAGCATATTTACCCAACAAACCTACGATAATTACAAATATTTACCGCTATATTTTCCTTAGATTAACCTTCAAAAAAAAGCCCAAGATCTGAATCATGTCGCCCTTGAACTGTAGGGTGTATACAACATACTTATTGCGTGTCCTTAATGTCATTAGTATGGTCACATTATGGTGCTTATGTTGAATGTCAAAAGTCAAGACAATTACTAAAGCCATACTTAAGTATACATATGTAGCACCACTCAAGTGACCATTTCAGTGTTTAGTAGTTTAATAATTAAAATTTATGCAAATAAACTTCTTGTTGTCCCTCTGCTTTGTTAGATACATTGTTCTCACATAACTAATTGAACCAAGGAAACAATGTAACCAAGAATATTGTATTGTGAACCTGATTGAAAAAGAGTATATATAACCTATGGAGTTTCTTGCTGGTTGTGCTCCATAGAAATCTACACATTGGAACGAGCAAATAGCTGCACTAGTGGACTGACTGACAGGCTGACACTTTTTTAATATTTTGTTTTGACGTTCAAAAGTACCTTTGATTTTGACTTTGACTTTTGTGTTGACATTATGAGAGTCCTGCAAGGAGTTTCCCCGACGTACTTTGAAGAGGATAATATAAGTCTTACGCGTAACCTATGCTTTTTTGGTTGATCGCTCCTATTTCTAGAACTACTCGATCAAATTGATGTCTTCATGTAGTTCATTCATGAAAGAAACTTATATATCACTAGCTTTTACCCACGGCTTTGCCCGCGTATTCATGTTTTATGCCATGGGAGCATTTAATCGGGATAAAAGTATCCTATGACCGAAGTCATCCCATACCCTGCCTATATACGAAATTTCATCAAAATTCACACATTCAAAAAAAAAACGTTCACATTTATAATATTAGCGTGATATTGTGATTTTTTTCTTTTGTGTGGATCGGAACACCTAAGGAAACAAAGTGTTTGTAGAGATACCCGGCGGCAAGGATTTTAGACCAGCTCCTTGAGCACTGGTTTCCTGCCTAGATAACTACCACCTAAAACTGATTTAACATCATGCTACAATGCAAATATTAACCGAATAGTAACTAAAACTGTGATAAATGAGAACGAAAAAAGGAGACAATGTGCCATTTAAAAAAATAAAACCTTGCCCCAGAATTATCTCCTGTATCGTGGTTGCGTTTACAAACATACAAGTCACATACACATGACACCAAGACCCGAAACAACAATTATAGTGGATCACACAAAGTGTTGTTCCGTGCGGGAAGCGAACCCGCGACACGTTGCGCGGCAGCCGATTGCCCAGTCACCGCACCAACGGTATAGTCAGAATGCCAAATGGTTTCGGATATGCGAGCGTCGAAAGAAAGAAAAACAGAAGAAGATTGACCGAAGTTACCTTAAGGTCTGGTTTACCATCTCCTAATTTTAATCATGAATGCCTCATTGGCCAAGTGGTCACAAGTGCGACTGCCAGGCGGTCTCGGGTTCGATTCCCGGGTCTGTATTACTGGGTTTTAAAAAAAATCTCGATAGTAGCACGGAGTCTGGAATTGAGCCCGGTATATGGCAATAGGCTCACCCCCTATTACATGGGACAAATACCATAATTAGTGAGTGTCATAATAAGTGGGTGTTACATTGTACAGTGCTCCTCTGCCTACCCTTTCGGGGCTACAAGGCGGGATGTTATGTTATGTTACTTTTAATCAAAGGTAGTTAATTAGTAGTTGTAGTAGGAGTGGGTAGCGAGGTGTCGGTGGGTGATGCGTGACGTAAGGTTGGCACGCCACGACGCCCCGCGCTGATTCTAATCATGCTAACATAATTTACGTAGCGACTTACTGATGATTTTGCGCGTGATTCACTTCTGATAATAGTTTTCAAGGAACTTTACTCATCAATCGTTTTGTTAAATTTTCGATTAGAGCAACAACTCTCTCTATATCAACATATATTATATTTAACTAATTCTAACTTTAGAATTTTTGCTCCCTGGAAGGATAAATACAGGTACTATGATTACCTATGTGTAGGTGCAATATAACAACCACTTGTTAAAGTTATGTTGGAGACCTGTAATATTGGGTAAGCTCATTACTATATATGAACCACAGATCTAGAGACCTTGATGTAATTAAAAAAAAATTTAAACACTGCAACTAATACCTCAATAATATTTTGCCTAACCGGAAATCGAACCTGCGAAACCCCTCCTATGATAGTCGCGCTTGTAACCACTCGACCGACGAGGCAGTTTAAAATACACACACATAACATGACGCCTTTTTATTCCCGAAGACCCCTTCGGGGATAAAAAGGCCTACCCTGGCAGAGGTGTACATTACGGTACTTAATGCCACTTTACAATGTAACACCCACTTTTCACTATTTATGGATGTCGCCGGGAGTCCATGGGACTCATAACATACTCATACTCATAACGGGGGGTGAGCCTATTACCATAAACCGAGCACATTTCCTGACTCCGTGCTACAACTGAGATTTTTTTTTAAAACACAGCCATACTTTTTCCTACCTTGAATCGAACCTGAGACCCCTTGCCCGGCAGTGCACTTGCGATCTAAAATCTTCATAAATAAACATAAACAACTCCATTCAATAAGATCTATGAAGACATCCATAATGGAAGCGTTTTACCTACCAATAAAACGCATATTAATTTACTTACCTTATTCGAAGCTTATTTAATTGAGATAGGCCTTCCGCTTCCCTCCTTCCACTTTCCTATATGTCTATCTCTTTCTACTACGTCACTTCCATTTGGCAGTGGTGGGGAGGCTTGCTATGAGAGACTCGCCATTTTTATTTCATCTCTTTCATTGAGTCTCATTACCAGGCAGAGCTTGACTATAAGCTTCGAATAAGGTAAGTAAATTAATATGCGTTTTATTGGTAGGTAAAACGCTTCCATTAATTTGACTTGACCGTTATTCGAAGCTTATTTAATTGAGACGTGTTTGTTATCGCCTGGTGGAAGTGACAGACGCCAATGTGAGGTAGTATGACTGCGTTGACCGCAGTCGTACTACCTGGTATGATGTGGTAAAATCACAGAATAGAAAAACTAAGAAAAATAGCAAATATCTAAAAACATATACATGTTTTGATGAAAGGTATTGAATAGAAAACCTGTTATTTTTAATTTTTTCAATAATAATTGTATTTGATCTGAACAAAAACAGATGTTATATATTTCTGAGGTATTTTATTGCCTCGTTTCTAATTTTCTAATCGTCTGTATTGAATAAAAAGGTGACATACAAAGGCACACACATCTTAGAAAGGATCGCCTCAAAAGGATAACTATCCACTAAATTTTTTCAGATCACAGCTGATCTGAAACCCTCAGGATATCTTGGGGGATTACTGATATCTTAATATCGGTTACCACCAAGAAGGAACTTTATCCTGACCGCAATTAAATTTTTCTATGTCGGTTTAAGAAATTTGCATTATTTTCAAAATTGACACATAACATCACAGCTTACGCCATTAAGTTATGCCTCTTATGGTATGCTTAGTCCATTGGACTGGATCTGAGCTTTAGAAATTTGGTATACAGGCTGGGTATGGGCCGACTTCGGTGATATATCCCGATTAAATGCTCCCATGGTAGAAATACACGGGCAAAGTCGTGCGTGAAAGCTAATTTATTATTATCCATTTAATCAACAGAATCAGTTTTTGATCTAAAAGCCGACCGAAAAACTAGTACGTCTACGTCATTATGATTATGGTAATTATTAGTATCAATATCGAGGAAAGTTAGGTCATGGAATCTTTTCCTGGAGTATAGGAGAAATGGAACAGCTGTTTGTCTCTGCACTTGAAAGACTATTAATAAGTTTACTGTCTAAGAATCTAGCTAGATCGTTTATGACCCAAACAGGGGGATTGACATGATCAATCACCATTTACAACATGTTTTACACAGTCAGTTAATCTCAAATATAAGTACCTAACTGATGTGTTAGTTCATAAGTTAAATTAATGTTACTGATTGTATAGTTTTTAACAATACATGCTAAACGACATATGGTTCTGGTTAACAAAGGACAGCAACCACAGATTTTTGTGACAAATTTTAATTGTACGACAAATTATTGATTCAATAGAGATCCGATATAGATAAAAATGTAGTCAAAAGTCTTGCTATAGGAGCTGAGGGTCCCCCCCCCCTCCGGTGCGGTGCAACCTTTTGAGGACTGCACTATAGATTTAACGTATTGACGGACGCCATGATTTCTTAAGAGATTTCAATTGTATAGAATATCATTTTAATAGTATTCCAGACATCTCACGTTTCCACACTTCCAAGGTCATGTCGTAGACGCTCGGTGGTGGCCGCCTTGTTCTTAATTAG